GTGCAAGATTTCCTGGTGGTTGCTGCTCTAATAAGCCGTAGAGACACTAGCGGCTACTTAGGTATGCTTCAGGTGCTCAAGTTGCCTGAAGTAGCTTCCTTTCTTATGGCTACTTGCCTGCACCAAGACACGTCATTTTCTTTGATATGTGTATCCAACATCTTCAACAGTCTGCCATGAAGTAAAAACTAAACAATTGAGTGCATTGTGGGCATGCCATCACATTTTAGAACATGCAGTTGTGCAAAGAAACAAACTGGTGGTTTAGATGCTCAGAACATATTAACAGATCAAATGGATGCAAGCCCCCAGATCAATTTAAACAGATCAATTGGTAACAGCTTGCTTAAACTACTGGACCAAAATGAACAGTGACTTAACAAAAATGAGAGAACAATCTCTGTATTTTCAATTTATTCCTGTATATCGGTTGGCACTTTGCCACAGAAATGCACTGCTCTTGCTTGCACAGGAGGACATCTTTGTCTGATCACATCATCGAACACGGTATTCCGAACAGATAGCTTGTAGATGTGGATCACCTCATCACATTACAAATCAATGACATCATATGTGTATACATCATACACGGCAGCTCTAAGATGAGCCTTTTTGGCACATGTAGAACCTGAATTAAAATTGGTCCTCATCAGGTAGTAGGATTCCACATGCACAGTGCCAACACGGGATCTTAAATTAATCCTCAGGTAGTATGATCCCATTTGCAGTGCCAACATGGGCTCTTTCCTCTTAAACTTTGGGCCATCAACAGTACTAACATGGGCTCTTCCCTTAAACGTTGGGCTTAAACAGTAACAACAGGGGGCATGGTCCCTTTTGCAGCTCGTTCCAACATAAGTAGGTTTGTCTTTTACTCCCTCCGTCCGAAAATACTTGTCATCAAAAAGGACAAAAAGGGATGTATCTAGAACTAAAATACATCTAGATACATCCCCTTTTATTCATTTTGATGACAAGTATTTCCGGACGGAGGGAGTACTTAATATGCTTCAAATGGCCACCCCTTTAATATTTTCCTTATATAAGAAACAATATATCATTGTAGCTTGTTGGAAACATTAGTAGGTTTGGGGTTATTTTTTGTTGAATATGGTTCAAATGCCCACCCCTTCAACATTAGATTTGCCTTCATATGAGATTTTTTTTTTGAGGAATCCTTCATATGAGAATAATAATCTACCCCGTGTAGCTCTTTGGAAACATTAGTACTGATCTTGGGTGACATTTGCTAAATTTATCTGCTTATTGCTCTGAAGGTGCCGCTAGAGGGTGTGGCTGGCAGAAAGTATGCTCCTTCATCAACCTATGCGCTTACTATGCTTTTGGTATCCCTTCAGCTGTTATTTTTGCATTTATTCTGAAGATCGGCGGTAAGGTGAGCTCTATGTTTTATGCAATTCTGGGAGGATATGTTGTGTGGGTTCTGCCTGAATTCTAGCATGAGTCTCCTTTCCGTGGCAGGGACTTTGGCTGGGAATCATATGTGCTATGGTAGTGCAAATATTAGCTCTGCTTGTGATGATGCTTCATACCAACTGGGATAAAGAGGTAGGCCCGTACTCTCTGTTGATGAAATTGGATGATAGTATTATCTAAAATTTAAGCTTCATAAAATTGCTGCTGGGAAGGACCAGCTTACTAGCTTACACAGCAGGGCAGGACATAGCCATAGCAGTGTCGGGCCAAAGGGGGAATGGAATGCACCGATGAATGCAGCATTAGTCTTTGTAAATTACTGCCTTTTATGCTCTGTGACAAGAAAATAAAATGCAGTTCTTGTTTCCGCTGAACTTACTTTCCACATACATATCCATATCGATCATTAGCCTTTTAGATTGCTTGGTAAAGTTGGTATGATAACCAAGTCTGGTATGATTGAATCTGCTTCACGACCACCATACAGGGCCTTGCTTGCCTCACCAGCCCGTCATGCTGTGCTGGGGTGATGTGTATGCTCTTATTTTACTATGTTGTCTACGATGAACTCATCTTTGATACTCACTTTTTGTTTCCTTTCCTTGTAGGCTGAAATAGCCCGGGCTAGGACTAGAGTTCAGGAATCAGATGACAGCATAACATTTGCGTGAATGTCACCATTTCTGATATTTAGAGAAAAGGCCTATGGCCCAGCTTTTCATCCAAAGGTTTTTCGTAGTTCGATACAGTTGAAAAGGTAACAAAAGCCAGGGTGGCCTGGTAATTAACCATATTACTACAAGTCTACAACCAAGGATAAACCAGGTCATCATTTCTGATTGTTCCCCCATCAAGGTAGATGCTACATTGAACATAGTTCAAACTTGATGCCATCTTGAATGTCATCATTTCTCGCTACACCACCAGTAACGTAGATGCTCTATTTTACCACGCAGTTCATTCATACCGCGGAGTGTCGGATACATGTTTGATGTATATTTTATTTTATTTTTTGAGGCAAATGTATGTATATTTGATATGCTCAAGTGATTGAACACGTTCAGAAACCTTTAGTATATCTGTGAATGAAATACTAACTGTGCACATTCACCTACACAGTTTCCATACTTACCATCGCTACTACTGGTCCTGTGGTAGGCGACACTAAACCATCCGAAACGCAAATGGTGGTAGGCATACAGGTAGGTAAGCGAAAGCTGCAAGAGACCATATTATTATAGTAGTAGTTGGTAAGTAAAAGCTGTGGTTGAGCTTCGCCGGATGAGACGTGTCACCTGTACAGTTTTGCCAGTCATATCCACCTACCGCGCGCCTTCATCTTGAACCCCATGCATGCATACATGAACACTCGAGCACCTGCAGTGCTTGCATATCGAACGCAACAATGCATCTCGTCGCCATGGGCATCCCTCTCCCGTTGCTCCTCTCCACCTTGGCCATTGCCGTGACCATATGCTATGTGCTGGCCACCTTCTTCCGCGCCGACAAGGGGCGCGCGGCGTTGCCACCGGGGCCGAGGGGCTGGCCGGTGCTGGGGAACCTCCCGCAGCTCGGCGGCAAGACGCACCAGACCATGCACGAGATGTCCAAGGTGTACGGGCCCGTGCTCCGGCTCCGGTTCGGCAGCTCCGTCGTGGTGGTCGCCGGGTCGGCCGCCGTGGCCGAGCAGTTCCTCCGCACCCACGACGCCAAGTTCAGCAGCCGCCCGCCCAACTCCGGCGGCGAGCACATGGCGTACAACAACCAGGACGTGGTGTTCGCGCCCTACGGCCCCCGGTGGCGCGCGATGAGGAAGGTGTGCGCCGTCAACCTCTTCTCGGCCCGCGCGCTCGACGACCTCCGCGGGTTCCGCGAGCGGGAGGCCGCGCTCATGGTGAGGTCCCTCGTTGACGCTGCTTCCGGCGGCGGGGTGGTGGCGGTCGGCAAGGCGGCGAACGTGTGCACGACCAACGCCCTCTCGCGGGCGGCAGTGGGGCTCCGGGTGTTCGCTGCGGCAGGCACCGAGCTTGGCGCCAAGGAGTTCAAGGAGATCGTGCTGGAGGTGATGGAGGTGGGCGGCGTGCTCAACGTCGGGGACTTCGTGCCGGCGCTGCGGTGGCTCGACCCGCAGGGGGTTGTTGCCAGGTTGAAGAAACTGCATCGCCGGTTCGACGACATGATGAACGGGATCATCGCCGAGAGAAGGGCCGGAGGAAGCACGGCCGGCGAGGAGAAGGAAGGTAAGGACCTGCTCGGCTTGCTGCTCGCAATGGTGCAGGAAGACAAGTCCCTCACCGGCGGCGAGGAGGACAGGATCACAGACACGGACGTCAAGGCGCTCATACTGGTAACAATCTACTTCGTTCCCGGCCATGACTGTGACCGGCATGGCAAATCCACAACCTCAGTCGTCCAATGTGCCTGCAGTGGCGGAGCCAGAAAAATTCTATTAGGGGGCCAAGTGCTCTTAATACTGATTGAGGAGGGCTAAAGCATCACTTTAGCAGCAAAACATCACTAATTTCACACTGTTCATCAGAAAAATATGCAGCCAATAGATGATGTTAGGGGGGGGGGGGGCAGGGCCCTTGCTGGTCCCCCTGTCTCCGCCACTGTGCCTGATTAACTCTGCTTGCATGCATGCAGAACTTGTTCGTGGCGGGCACGGAGACGACATCGACCATAGTGGAGTGGGCGGTGGCGGAGCTGATCCGGCACCCGGACATGCTGAAGCGGGCGCAGGAGGAGATGGACGCCGTCGTGGGCCGGGACAGGCTCGTCTCGGAGTCCGACCTGCCGCGCCTCACGTTCCTCAACGCTGTCATCAAGGAGACGTTCCGGCTGCACCCGTCGACGCCGCTCTCGCTGCCGCGGATGGCCTCCGAGGAGTGCGAGGTCGCCGGCTACCGCATCCCCAAGGGCACGGAGCTGCTGGTCAACGTGTGGGGCATCGCCCGCGACCCGGCCCTGTGGCCCGACCCGCTGGAGTTCCGGCCCGCCCGGTTCCTCCCGGGAGGGACCCACGCCGACGTCGACGTCAAGGGAGGCGACTTCGGGCTGATCCCGTTCGGGGCCGGCCGGAGGATATGCGCGGGCCTCAGCTGGGGCCTGCGGGTGGTCACCGTGACGGCGGCGACGCTGGTGCACTCGTTCGACTGGGAGCTGCCGGCGGGCCAGACGCCCGACAAGCTCAACATGGAGGAGGCATTCTCTCTGCTGCTGCAGCGGGCCGTGCCGCTGATGGTTCACCCCGTGCCGAGGCTGCTCCCCTCGGCATACCAAATCGCATAAACAAAAACAGAGGGAAGTGCGCCACTGATTGTCGTGATGATCTATGGAGGACAAGCTCGAGTTGCGCTATGTATTGTTGTCGATGGGGGTCCCTCACCGTTGACCGTTCCCTTCAACTAAAATAGTTCCACATGTGTACTGTTTTTAGATAACATGGAAAATAACATTTTATGTACCAAGCAATATTGCTTTGCTGTCACAAATTAAAGATCATTTCACGTAAAAGAGAAGAGGGCAATGCAATAGGCTAAAAAAAAGGTACACCATGTATATTGTTGTGCTACTATGTTATCGAAAATGCTAAACCTACGTAAACTCTTACG